CTCGCGGAGGATTAAGACATGGAAGCACCTGTCTACAAAACATGTGGCTGCAAGAAGAAGTGCTTATAACAGGGGCAAAAAAAGAGCGTACAAATACACCCAGTAAACTGAATATTACTTGATTCACAGTGTAGCTCATCATTAACTGGGAACTTTCTCAAGTGTCCCAAGAGAAATCCAAAGACACTGGCCTTGTAATGCTGGCCAGCGGCCATGAGATGGCTTCGGAATATTGGAAATCACATACGAAAACTCGTAATCCTTCAACATCGCACCCCTGTGATCGGCATCCGACTCTGTAGGAAAATGCACTACCTTTAGTGCTTGCCTTTTAAGACAGAGATACTCAATAAGCCGGCCACTAATTGGAATAACATTCAGGAATCCAGAGACAATGGCGCCACGTGGGAAAATGATTATTTAACAGCCATCAATACCTTGCATTTCTACTCTAGGACTGCTTTTACTCATGCAGATATCTGTCCCTAACTGTAGTATCGAAACTTGATTGGTTTCCATATATAAGAAAACCAGAGTATATTACACTAGTGCCATTGCAGACGATTTCAAGAGTTAAACAACTAGTTATAAAGCACTGCTAAATTTGATAAGCTTCATACCTCCTCCGCTAGCTCCAATTCCTATTCGGAGTTCTAGACAGCAATTCATTCGATCCAAACCAGGTTTCATCCTGTTATATATATAAACCCCGTGGAGACCGACCTAGAAGCCAAGAGAATCTTCCCTATTCCTGTGCAAACCTCAGTTTCTATTCTCCCTGCACTTTAAAACAGGATAAGTTACCAGAAGTATAACATTTTATATACTGCCTGAATTCTCCAATATGAGGTCGGAAAGACATGTCATGAAGATGAAAGGCTTGAAGTTCGGGCCTCAACTGATAGCTACAGTTCTGGTTCTGTGCTTCTGTTACACGTATGCGATAGCAGAAGTGAAGAAGCAAACGAAGAAGACTTTCATAATTCAAATGGACAAGTCCAATATGCCAGCGACTTACTATGATCATTTCCAATGGTATGATTCATCTTTAAAATCCGTATCAGAATCTGCTGACATGCTTTACACTTACAACAACATAATCCATGGCTTTTCCACCCAACTCACACCAGAGGAAGCTGAATTACTTGAAAAACAATCCGGAATTCTATCGGTCCTACCTGAAATGATTTACAAGCTACACACAACTCATACCCCGGAGTTCCTTGGATTGGGAAAAAGTGATGCTGTCCTCCTCCCTGCATCTGCCTCCCTAAGTGAGGTGATTGTTGGAGTACTGGACACCGGTGTCTGGCCAGAGATAAAAAGCTTTGATGACACAGGGCTTGGCCCAATACCAAGTACCTGGAAAGGTTCTTGTGAGGTGGGTAAGAACTTCAATTCATCAAGCTGTAACCGGAAACTGATAGGTGCACAATATTTCTCAAAAGGGTATGAAGCCTCATTCGGACCTATTGACGAAACAATGGAGTCAAAATCACCGAGAGACGATGATGGCCATGGAACCCACACTGCAACTACAGCAGCTGGATCAGCTGTCTCAGGAGCTAGCCTTTTCGGGTATGCTTCTGGGATAGCACGTGGAATGGCTACAGAAGCTCGAGTAGCAGCTTACAAGGTGTGTTGGTTGGGTGGATGTTTTAGCTCTGATATTTTAGCAGCAATGGAAAAGGCTGTTGCAGATGGCGTTAATGTCATGTCAATGTCTATTGGAGGGGGACTCTCAGATTACACTCGAGATACAGTTGCGATTGGAGCTTTCCGAGCAGCAGCACAGGGAATTCTAGTCTCATGCTCGGCTGGAAATGGAGGGCCAAGTCCAGGCAGCTTGTCTAATGTCGCTCCTTGGATAACCACTGTAGGTGCTGGAACGTTGGACCGTGATTTCCCAGCCTATGTGAGCCTTGGAAATGGTAGGAAGCACTCGGGTATATCGCTTTACAGTGGAAAGCCATTATCTGATTCGTTGATGCCTCTGGTTTATGCTGGTAACGTGAGCAATTCCACAAGCGGCAGCCTTTGCATGATAGGAACTTTGATTCCTGCACAAGTTGCAGGGAAAATTGTGATATGTGATCGAGGGGGGAATAGCAGGGTCCAAAAGGGCTTGGTGGTGAAAGATTCTGGTGGCCTTGGGATGATTCTTGCAAACACAGAGCTGTATGGGGAAGAGCTAGTCGCTGACGCACATCTTCTTCCCACAGCCGCTGTGGGCCTAAGAACCGCAAATGCAATTAAGAATTATGCCTTCCTTGATCCAAAGCCAGTGGGCACGATTGCTTCTGGAGGTACCAAGCTTGGAGTTGAACCATCGCCTGTGGTAGCGGCATTCAGTTCCAGAGGTCCCAATCTGGTCACTCCAGAAGTACTCAAACCAGACCTAATAGCACCAGGAGTCAACATACTAGCGGGATGGACTGGGGGAGCTGGCCCAACTGGGCTAACAAACGACAAGAGGCATGTAGAATTCAATATCATTTCAGGTACATCAATGTCATGTCCCCATGTAAGTGGGTTGGCTGCACTCATCAAGGCTGCTCACCAGGACTGGAGTCCAGCAGCCATTAAGTCCGCTCTCATGACCACAGCCTATGCGACATACAAAAATGGGGAAAACATATTAGACGTGGCTACAGGACAACCATCTACGCCGTTCGATTATGGAGCTGGACATGTAAATCCAGTAGCAGCCCTTGATCCTGGCCTCGTCTATGATGCCACTGTTGATGACTACATAAGCTTCTTTTGTGCTCTAAACTATAGTGCATCAGACATTAAACAAATCACAAATAAAGACTTCATTTGCAACTCAAGCAAGGAATACAGCCTGGGGGATCTTAATTACCCATCGTTCTCTGTTCCACTACAAACTGCTTCAGGCAAGGAGGGCGGAGCTGGGATGAAAAGTAGAGTCAAATACACCAGGACTCTGACGAATGTAGGTGCTCCAGCAACATACAAGGTTTCGATGACATCACAAACTACATCGGTTAAGATGTTAGCCGAGCCAGAATCTCTGAGCTTTGCCAAAGAATATGAGAAAAAGAGTTACACAGTGACTTTTACCGCTACATCCATGCCCTCCGGTACAAACAGCTTTGCTCATCTGGAGTGGTCAGACGGGAAGCATGTTGTCCGTAGTCCAATAGCTTTCAGCTGGACATGATCCGAAATCTTGAAGAAATCCCATAAATGAATATCATTCATAGGACATGTGCCTCAAGTTCTGTGTATTTTTAATCTCTTCTCTGATGTTCCAACAAATGTGCCGGTTGAACCAGCTGTAACGTTTATATTTGCTCTCTGAGGTGATCAGAGGACGTAGAAAAAAAAGGGAGAATAGTTGTACAGAAGCCCATGGAAAGAATTGTATGTGAACTGAAAATGGATCTCCAGTTGTCTTTATAAGAGGCTCTGAATCTAAAGCCTTTAAACAATTTATGCTTTATGGCTGAAGATTAAAGAGGGAGCTAATTATGTTCTCGTATGCATCAAGTGAAACCGAACTTCAACGAGAGGAGAAATCCAGTCGCCAAACGAAAAGGCTCCCATGTTGAAATTGCTTACGTGAAGTTATTATATGCCCAAGAACTAATTGGGAAAAGGGGTTTTACAAAGACCTAGCTTAAGAAGAACACGAGGGGGTGTAAAACCATCAAAGACATCCCTCAAACTAATTTAACTGAAATAAGAAGTACAATATAGACACAATGTAGTGTTGAAGTTCTGATAACAAGAAGATTTGTGGAGATTCCCTCCATTCATCAGTTTTGACATCCTATGGAATGAATTCCTCACCATATCACTAGCTCCTTCAGCAGTGGCCTAGTTCAACTGATTCACTATCGGTCTACAACATCATGGAAAAAGTATCAACTACTTAATTATGTAACCCGAGGTTCATTTTTTATCAGACAATGGCAAACTGCAGTCCAACACTACAGTATAATCATGTTAACAAAAACACACTGAGCAACCCAACAACCTCAAGACATTAGAAGGATACGCAAGCTGTATCCACAAAGCCCGTTCCAAAGCCAATGTTCAGTTTATGACCACCACCTGAGCAAACCGCCTTTGCGCGTGCTTCCATCAATGGCTTCTCCAAGCTATTCGAGTCCATTATCTTATCTTCACTAAAACTAACCCTATCTTCTAAGTAATTCTCACTAGAATCAGAATTTGACTTCCCTTTCCCTGCACATGCAATTGTTCCTAATATTAACCCAGACCGAATTCCTGTACAATCAGAGGATATCTTCGTAATTATAATGAGACGATAGCTGTTTTAGTTAATTACTAATGGGAATTAAGAGGAAATCAAGAGAAATGAGGGAACTTCTTTTTACTCTGCCAGCAAGCATTCAGGAGAACTTCGGAGGCGTCTTGATGGCCAGCTTCCATAGCGGCATGCATGATCAGCGGAGGGAGGCTATTTCTGTCGAACCAAGTATCTTTGTTTCTGTTTCTGTATTTATTTTAGTTGATTATAAAATATGATTCTTGCTAGTTAAAATAATAATAATAATAAAATATAAATACTGAATAATAAAATTTTAAACTCATAAACCCATTAAATTCTCGTCAAAGGTTGAATTACAAAGCTCAGTGAAAGTAAAACCAGCAAAGTAGACTGGAGAAATCGAAGTGACGCTTTGGGTGCAATTTATGTCCGATACCAGTCTCCGTTTCTTTCTTATTGTACCAAAAAAGAAAAAGGAAAAAAAACCTACCTTAATTGCCAAGAAGTTCTGTTAGACGTTTTCATCTCCATAAAATAATTTGTAGACATCGTAGATAAAACACTGAAAGGAGTTCATCGATTAGTGAAGTGTACATATAAAGGCATCACAAGATACAGCTACAAACATGCACCAAGAAAAATAATAAAACGTCAGGTTCTTTATTAGAAATCTACTCTGGTTGCCATTTCGCCAGGAAGGTGCTGCATGGAAGCCGGGTACTTTTGGGGGATATTCTGATTTCGGCTTTTAAATCATCATTTATTTCATAGACGTACAAACTATCCTGGCATGTAGAATTTCTATGTTCCATTAAATTGAACAATGGGATTTCGACACTACAGTACTTTGAACATAGAAATAGGTTGAAGAGCAAGCTGCTGCTTCTTTTTTACAGTGCCATGACAATTGGAAACTTCATAGGAAAAAAAGGAGGGAAAAAAACACAAGAAATGCATAAACTTTGCTTCATAACAAATACTCAAGACTGATCGTCATCACTTTCTTCTTTTTTGGCCAATTCCATGCCCTGGAATGTGACAGTAGATGACCTATACTGGCTCCCAAAGGCAGTGCCAAAGCCCCATCCAAGGCCTAGGCCAACCCCACAGCCTGCACCTGCAAAACATAGGTCCTAATTCTGAACAATTCTTGAATGGATTATTTATAGACCAAGACACACACTCACATACACACATATATATGAATGATAGTCTAAGATCTACATTTGGGGAAAGAGACAAGAAGGTGCATACCTGCACCAAGACCCAAAATATTCAAAGGCATGCCTGCACCAGACAAACATATACGTAAGCAAATTGGTAGCTCAGTTCACACTCAAAGGGAAGATTTACGCAGAGTCTCAAACAGCAAGTCAGATGAGGTGACTATTCTACCACACACATCAACCAGACAAGCTTTATATCAAGGATCATGGGATCGTCATGCAAAATTCTAAATATCACAAAGTTGTTCTTGACGATCGGATATCATTCACAACAGTTATTGGATGTAGCTCATATTTTGCAAAACATGAGGACACAATCAGCTGTTTTCTGTCAGCTGTGGTAGAAGGTAAAGGCAACACTAGATCAATTCATTGAAATTATGCCCCAGCCATGAATAGCAAGCGACACATAACTCCACTGAGCAGGATTGAAGTACCGAGACTAGCTGGGTTGAACAAGAATTGAATCCCAACCACACTTAACCAAACGGATCCATGCATCACCCACATCTACCAGACAATCAACACTGTAGAAGGAAAGTTTGTTGTTTTCTCTCCAGAAAGACCAGCTAATGTGAACACTACACTAAAAATACCCTTACCACCTTAAGAGTGGCAAAGTGATGATTGTTAGATTCTTCATTCATTAGGTTCTACGAATTTCTCAACAATTTCACTGTCCAGGCAAAGTATTTATTTATATATACTGCCCTGGAAATAAAAAAAAAAAACCCAAAAATACATGACAAATAAGTAGAAGAAGACGGGCAGAAGATTCAAAATTGAATTTGGATCAATAGCAGTGATAAAGCAGTGCTTAGTTATGAAAAATTAAGGACACCACTATAAGAAAATAAGGCAACCCCATAATCAAAACTCAAGGCAGAAATCACTCCCAACCCAACCGCCTATTCCAATCAAATAAGAACCCCACAATTCAGAGAAGCAGCATGATATTTTTAGCTTAGCTGGGTTTTCCTCAAATAACATCACAAGGAAGACTTTAAAGTGAAATAAAAAAAAGGAAAAGGAACTGACCCCCAAAACCCCAGCCTACGCCAAAGCCACAACCAACACCGAAACCTGAAATCAAATTTCGCATAAACGACAGAGAGATAGAAGAAGAAAATCAGAATTAATTGTAGTAATAAGCATACCGAATCCAACACCAGGTCCACTAAAATTTGTAAGCACCATTGCTTTTGGAGCTGCGCAGCGACAGTCGGTACATAAATAAAATAAATGAGAGGCAAGAATATAACGTCGTCGAGTGGAGGTACGATTTCAAAAACACAACTCTCTCTCTTTTCCTTCGCTTCTATAACCGAAGAAGGAACAAATACCCAGCCCACCAAGAATTCAAAATAGGCCCCTCAAGCCTACAGATTATTATTATATTAACTGGCCCGGTCCACTTAGAAGGGATGCCATCTACCAATTCCCTTGCATTAACTCAACTTCTGACTATTTCTAGGTAAAGCTACATGTTGATGATCATCACCAAATTATCGGAAATCTTCTTATCAATCCAAATTTTATTTTTGCAGGCCGCGGAATGCGAGCAACACCAAAGACTTTCGATGGACGTGTCAGGGAGTCGGAGAATCCAAGCCAAGCTGCTGCCGACTATTCAATCCTGTTACACCCAGGGCGGAGACAAAAAATAAAATTAAAAAGAGCTAAAATTTCGGTTGTTATATTATTTTAGCTAAAACCATATAAATTATCAAGAAAAAAGCTGGAAAAATTATTCAGGGCCGGGCCCTGCTTAAACCACCTCCGCCCCGGGTCACACCCCCACTCTGGTAGTCTCGTGATGCGGCAACATCGTCATCAGATTTTTTCGGCGGCAAAAACTAACATGTCAACAATATATACAGAAACATAGAAAAACTTCTGGTGGAATAAATTTAGTACGAAATATATAAATACCTTAATATAATAGGTAAACGTTTCAGGCGAAGCAATTTAACTTCACACAAGTTCATTTACAACCCAAACACATAAAACTACATTCAGAACAATAGAGGAGACCACAAACTCCCCCCAGCATATTTTTCTCCTGATCTCACTTTTGGTACATTATTTTTCTTCCTATATTTATTAACTTATATATTAGATAGTCTTTTATTTCAATAAAAGACTTATTTTTGCAATGAGCGTGGAAATCATTTCGTCAACCCACCAACCGGTTAACAAACCGAGTCACTCCACTAGGTATATAATCACAATAGTGAAAAGCTGAATCTAGAGTGAAGTTTTCATAACTTCATCTAACTATTATTTTATTTTTCATACAATTCATGTACCTGTAATAATGTAATTTCAGAAAAATGTATAATTGTGTTATATTATGAATAGTGGACAACATAACAAACTGAATAGAGGCAACAACAACGTCCAAACTCCTAGGTGCATTTCTGCTTTGTTGCTGGCAATGAAAGTAAAATCGCGTTTAGTCAAGTAAAAGTGTTTTTGCAAGGAACCGGACCGGATTCTGGCTTTGTTCGATGGACATGTATTAAATTCTTGACCTCGACATGTATGATCTTCTAAAAAAATTGTTTATTCTTCATATATATATATATATATATTACTATCAAACTTATGATATTTGAAATAATAAATAAATAAAATTATTTTCACTCTAGTTGCATTAATGTTTTTTTTAATTAACTTTAAAAAATAATTTTTCCACCCATTAAAATCATGTCAAGTCCTTAATCATAATAAAGAAACAATTCAATACTCAGTTATTAGATAATTTCTTCAAATATATTTACTAATAAAATAAATAATTAAATTTATTATATATCAAAAATTCAAATAGTAACTAAATACTATTTATCCTGGAATTGCTTTTGAGATAGAAGGGAAAGGTACATGGTGTTTCAAGCGAAGTTAGCCTTACAATCGGTTTATCACGCTAGTAATTGACTATCCTACAAGATAAATTCTTTTCAATCATATATATTAGCTGTTTTAAAAAATCTTCTTTTTAAAGATTTTATTTAAAATTTTAATTTAGCAGCTCTTGTTGGCATTTAAAGATGTGTCAAGAATAATCTGAGAGGGATGCCTGATAGTAAAGGTATGTGCTTTCTCTCTAGCTATTATGATTTAAACATCATGAAGTTACATTTCTTTAAAAATTAAGAAATTACTATAAAAACAATTGCTAATCTAATCGTTCACCAAAGAACCTCGTGATAGAATAATACCCTTTTTTTGTGTTTTAAAAAATATTTTTAACATAAATTTAATTTTTTAATTTAGTTATTTGCTTTAATTTTTTTTTTGATATTTTCGATGTGTTTTGATGGGTTAAAATTATTTTTTTAAAAATAAAAAATATTATTTTAATATATTTCTATATAAAATACATTTTAAAAAGAATCACTTGCCACTAAAATTTTTTCTATCATTTACCACTGAAATATTTCAAGGGCCACCAGATTTTCTAATTTTTTACAAGTAGAACAGTAATCTAATGAAGCAGAATGCAGACAGCAAGATAATACCAACTAAAGTGGTAGGTTTTACAAGGAAATAGAATTGGACCAACTACAAATGCAACTTTCTTTAAGATAGCTGACATAATACCAGCTACAATGGAGCACAGAGCCCTTGATCACTCTCCAATTATTATATTTTGAAAACAAAGATCATAGCAACAAAACCCAAAACCAACCATATCAAGGCACAACCTTGTAAGCTTTCATCTTGTCTATCCACGAAACGAATGATTTCTTGGAATTGCGAAATCCCAAAAATCCATGTTCCTTGCTCTTATTCAAACAAAGGACAGAACCCGGTATACTGAACACGAAATCTGCAAACCACCATCCCCCAACTTGCTCCAGCTTGTTAGGCAGTAGCTGGTTCTCCCTCACAATTTCCTCCCACACTGGTCCCTTGTCTTTCATCTTCTCCGCAAAGGTCACGCTACTCTCCCCCTCCTCAAATCCATACTTTTCAATCCCAAACTCTTCTGCTAAAATCGTCCACAAATGCTTCCATTTGAACAGATCCCCGTTTTGGATATTAAAAGCTTCATTTTGTGCATTAGGATCCACGCACGCCCAAATTTCATGCTCTGCGATCAGATCTGCATCAGAAGCAATTGAGTAACTATTCCATGCCTCTTTCGATCCACGAAAGATCAGCGGAACTCCCTCGTGCTTGCATATTGCAGCGTAAACAGAAATAGTCACAATCATATTCATCAAGCTATATGGTGAAAACCCAAATATAACACCAGGCCGGTGAACAGACCAAGTCACCCCTTCTTTCTTTGCCACTTCCTCGAACATAACGTCTTCCAATGTGTGATAAAAATTGGGAAATCTTGATCTGGGCAGATCTTCCGTGAAAGGTGAGTCATGAGCTTCAATCTTGCCGAATAACTCAAAGGGACCCACATATTGCTTCGCTCCGGTTTGGAGGCAGACATGGCGGAGATTGGCAGCGTTAGGTATAACAGCCTGGAGGACGTTGCGGAACATGAGACCGTTAATCTCACAGTTCTCCTCCTCCGTGGATTTGCTGGCCCAGGTAACATAAAAGATGTGGGTGACATCGGTGAGTTTAGAAAGCTTGGATTGGGTTTCGACAGTACTGGAGATGTCGCACTGGATGTACTCCACCGGATGATCCTCGTTCCAACTGGGGCGGGAACGTCGGGCGACGCCGTAGACTTTCCATGGGCCACCAGGCGTGTCTGAGAGTGGGAGAATCTCCGCCAAACTGTTGCCAACAATCCCGGTAACACCTAGAATCAGGGCCACGCTTTGGTAACCTCGTGATGCTTCATCTTCTTCGGTTTTTTTCTGTAAATTGAAGAAAAATAAATGATATATAGACGTGCACCCACACACATATGGGCTTTGGGTGCATGATAGATAATAGCGAGAGGGCAGTTGAATCCTTACCTTGGCAGCGCCGATAGCACCAGACCACCACCAGCTCATTTTTCTTTATTCTTTTGATTGAATTTGAAGCGGGAGGAGACAGGAAACGATGATAGTAGATAAAATAAATCAGGAAATTTCAAGGAGATCCTCGCTAGCTAATAACTTTTTCTGTAACTACGATAGTGTTTTTTAAAATATTTCTGGCTTAGAAATATTCCTTTTTATTTTTAAAATTTATTTCAAATAATTTAAAACAAAATAAAAATTTTATTTAAAAATAAAAATAAAAACAAGCAGCACCTAATGGTCAAGACTGTATCGTTGTTTGTTCTGTTGGTTTGAATCGTTGATTGTTCTGCACATGTCTTGGTCCGCTTCGATACCGTACTAAAAGTGGGTTTTTCCATTATTATCAGACGCGAGCCATATAGTAATTAATCAAATCCTGACGCCTCTGGCGGACCCAATGATTTTGAAGTATAATGATGGTTAAATGTTTTGTTTTGCTTGGTAGGTTCTTAGTTTTTTTCCCGTTACATGGTACAAACTCATTTTATGTTAGCTTGATTCCTATAATAATTTTTCTATCCGTAAATTATTATTTCAGCTTACATGTTATATGTGGATTTTTCTAAATATATAAGTGGAATATTTTATATGGTTCTTACTAATAGAAGGCCCGCTTTATGCCGCAAGATGGATTAAAAACATAATTTAATGTAAAAAAAATATTTAAATGATGCTAACATGTGTAAGAAAAACGTGTAACTCAAATTATGGATCTAAATGTACCTAATAAAATGATTTTATTTAACTATGTTATAAGAAAATAAGCAATAACAGTAAATGGATAGAAATAAAAAAAAAAAAAGATCATGACAACCTACACATAAAAAACCCCTGTAAAAAAAAAATTATAAAATTCAATTCTTAGACAATCGAACGTGAATGATAAAATTAAACAAAATAAAAAAAACAACAAAAGAAACCTCGATCATCCAAAATTAAAATGTCAAATTCGCGACATAGATAATGAAACCATGAAAACCCAATAAAAAAAATTAAAAAAAAAAACTGCAATGTCCAATTTCCAACATTCAGAATATAGAAAGATGAAATACAAAAAAAAATCAATAAAAAAAAACCTAAAAATATAAAACACCAACAAACTTGGGTAAAATCGTCAAACACTGTAAGTCGGATCATGTGAGCATGATAACATAATAGAAGGAAAAACATGAAAAAGTATGACGTGCACTTCTTAAACCAACCAAATGTTGACAAAATAAAAAATTATTTATTCTTCAAAAAATAAATAAAAAAATCTCGAGTCAATCTATGCTAACATGCCAAACTTGCAAGGAATTCTCAAACTAACCAAATGTTAAAGGATGAAGCAAAAAAATATTCATTCTTAAAAAAATGACTAAAAAATATCAAAGTCAACTTAGATTAATCTGCTAAGCTCGCGATCTAGGTCTTAAGATTAAGATAAATTTATAGAAAATAATGAATCATAATTTCTAATAAATTTAATATTAAAGGATGAAATTGAAAAATAAAATCAATATAAAAAAATATCTAAAAAAACAGATGTCAACCCAGGTTAAATTTTTAATATCAACCCGATTGACCAGGTTTATGCGACTGAAATCATCCTGTTAAAGAAAATTACGAAGTTCAATTTATGACCAATCTAATATTGAAGGATGAAATTGAAAAAAAAATATTAAAAAAAAATCAAAGTAAAAATAATAATTAAAAAATAAAAATCAAATTTAATATTGATTATTTTCTATTCTCATTCCCAAATAAAAACAACTAAAAATAGTTTTAGTGTTATTGTTATTCTATGTATAACATTTAGGATGTAAATAATAGATTTTCAAACTATAACGGGGATTACAATTTGGACCAAAATATAGGATGATTTATGAAATGTTCTCTAAGGAAAAAGTTAGTGATTGAAAAAAACAAGGACATAAACTTCCGTGCAAATTAGTCCCAATATTAGTTTTAAAAAAGAATTAAATATATGTTTAAATTAATAAAAAAAATTTATTTTATCAAACTAGCTTTTTAACAAGCAATGTAACATTTTATTAACACCGTGAAATCCCCACACACACGTTTATGAAAAACAAATCACCAACACCACTCTCAAATCAAAGCAATATTATAAGATGATCAGTTGACTCCCCAGCCATTCAATAACAAGAGTTAAGAGATTCATCCGAATTCCTCTCAACCTTGAATTGAAGATCCAAATGAAACTATATAAAAAAAGAAGAAATATCTAGACAATAATAACAGCACTATCTAGAGAATTTCAGATTAACAAGCCATGTATACCCGTCAACAGAGAATTAAGATCGATAAGCCCCTACAAAAAGAAATGAAATTAGAGGCCCCTGTAGACCTCTCTTTGGCTGTTTCTTAGGAATTAGGAGGGCGTGGATTGCTGCTTCTAATCAACTTTCCAAAGTGGTAGGTGAAATTGTTCTTGCATTTTGTCTTTGTTATTTACTACTCCTATAGTATTTTACCGGTTATCTTCTTGCGTTGTGGTGAATGTCATTGCCCTTGGAGGTCAAATGATAGCATTGAGTTTGGTTAATATAATTAAAAAAAACTGCATCTTTATGAGTTGCATCTTTTTGACGCATCTATATATATGTTAGCTTGGACTTTTGTGGTTTCACCTCCATCCATATGTAATCCTGATGACAACTATCTCATCCAGACGGAAGCACAAAAGGTAAAAGGATTAGTATGAAGTATGAACTACAGTGCCGGCTCCTAGCTGGTTTGCAAGATTTCCGAGAGAAATAATCATGAACAGACGTGAATGATAGATAATTAGCAATGAATGGTAGTTGAAAGAGTAAGGAGGTCATGTGTGCTGGAAGACTTTGTTTGAAAAGGTGGTAAGATTGGACCTTTAAAGTTGCATGCTTGGTGGTATGATTTTTTTCTTTGAATGCGTACAGTGTTGCTCCTGATCAATCAATTCCTGGGAAAAAACTAATGGTCAAGCTACTTAGCAAACCTATCGTAGGGTCCATGCACATGTCAATTAATTGGTCGGGATCCCAGCAGATTTGAGGAGCTACTAGCATAGTTCAAACTTGTTAGCAACACAAAGCTGTTCCTCATTCATGACATGTAATAATGTTTAATAATACCTTAAATATTACAATATGCTGTGGCTTGGGAAAGTAGCAATGAGGAATCATCTTTTATGTTATTAACAATCAAGGATAATGGCTCGCCTCCATCTGTCCATTTATATGTATTCGGATTTCTTTTCACCAGCTAATCTCTTTCCTTTTAATCGTACCAACTTAAACCTAAATTTTATGGAATATCTAAAAGATAATGAACTGGAAGTCCAAAGCTTAAAGTAACCTATTTGGAACCTGACGATGAATTTATGTTGCCTAGCAAACTAAATTATACTATTGATGGGAAGTGAATCCAATTGTCGAACAGATATTTGCATATAGACGCATGCAGTGAAGGCAAGAGATTGGCAAAAGGAAACAACATATACTCAGTTTTCTTTGTACTGTTGAATTTAACAGTCTGGAAACTCTCTACGTGAAAAAAGATCAACAGCAAGAATAGAGAGCGGATCAGTCTGCTTTGGTGATTTCTTAAATGAAAAGCCACAACAGCCTCTGTTTTTTCCCTCCCAGCAGAGATATTTCCACCAACAGTTCCAAAGGCAAAAACACAAACATTTCAAGCTGCAAAATCATAGGTGAGGTTGCAAAATCTCGTCAGATATTATTGCAGTGAAAAAAAGAAAGAAGCAAAAGACAGATGAAGTAATGAGCTGCTCGCTGTCCATACACATGCAAGTAAACTGAAAATTCAAAATCCATCCCTTTCTTTTCCTGCAATATCTAGAAATATGAAATACAATAAATCAAATTGAGAACTAACTGTGAATACCTTGAGATTTTGCTCTTTCCTTTCTCCAAGCTCTCCATTCTATCAGACAACTGATCATGAGTGTGCTAAAAAAGTTCCCTGTAATCAGAACTCCTTTTCTTCTGGTTGGCTTGAAGTCTCAAAAAACTTCGAGGAATTCTAAATCCTCCAAACACCGACCCACACTCTCCATCCACTGTTCCATCCTCATTTTTCTCCTGTAATCTAGGCACAAACATACTCTCATTCAAGAATTGACGAACAATTTCAGGAGAAAAAACCCGATTGGTTTCTGAGCAAATTAAAACAACAGAAACAGAAAGAGGGAGCCTTTTTTCTATGCTTTCATACAAAGACTGGCCATTTTCAAGCTAGTATGAAAAATTAGGCATGTACAAACATGAGGGTCAGTCAATATATTTTTATTTTCCCCTTCATTTATGCATAGTTTTAGAAAGTCAACAACAGTAATAACCTCATATGTCAAGATTCAATTTTTTCTGTTATATCTCAAAAGATTAGTATAGTGAACAGATACCTTTGAAAAGAGAAGGACCCATGATGATGATAACTTTGTTCCATTAAGGATTTTTCCTCTGCGTAAAAACCCAGGATACTGCAATTCCCGAAAGAAAAATAGAAGAAAGAATTGGGACAGGAAGTAAGTACCACCCACCTCTAAAAAAAAGAAAAGAAAAGAAACTGAAGAAAAAGGCAAGAATCAGAATTACCCACCACCATCCAAAAGAGTATCACCATGTCACATGCTGCAAATTCTAACACCTTTAACAATGAGTCATGAACAAGGCAGGGGAAGGATTTTGAACAAAGCCATAACGGGAAACTTCAGAATCATCAAACGCACCATTTTATTTGTTTTAAATTAGTAATGTGTCAATAGACACGTGTAAGAAAACTGTCACTCTTACTATTCAGGACGAGCATCTTGCATGCATATAATGTACTAAAACCGTATGGAGCAGAGGGGAGAAAAAACAATACACAGTGTGTGTAAAGAGAAAAATTCAGGTGAATTTGCTCCCATCCTATCCAAATCCAATTTCAATTTCTGTTTTCAGTCATTGAGACTAGTTTGATTTCCAAATACATTCTTGAATTACTCTTTCTGGTTCTCAAAGTTTCTATAATAGTAACAGTATTCACTTTGAATAAACTTCAGTGTTCTTAGTTTTGTTGAATCGACACAAGAACCATAGAGATCAAAAGACTTGAAGATTCTATTGAGTCAGCAAAAAGAGAGGCCAACTCTAGGTACGATCAGCTAGTTAATCTTATGAAGGACCAAGGTCAAAGGTGGGATCACACTACCAATAATCATGAAGCTCAAATTAGAGGAATTAAGGAGCTGCTTCATGGGTTGACACAACAACTTGAATCGGTTATGCAAATGGTTCCTTTTCCCTCAGGGGAATCCAGCTAAAGTAAAGATAAGCATGCAGCTTATCAAAATGAATTTTCATTCAGGCCTAGCTACTCAACTGAAGGAAGGCCATCGGCTTACAAGGTACACCGACCTAAACATCATTTTTCAGTATTTGAGGGTGAAGATATGCATAAATGGTTGTACAAATGCAACCAGCATTTTGAGATAGAGGATATTGATGAATCAGATAAACTGAAGCTAGCCTCCTACTACCTAGACAGCATAACACTTTATTGACACCAAAATTTTATGAAGAACCAAAACAATCAGAGAGTGAGCTAAAGGGAGTATATAGAAGCTCTTTATTATAGGTTCGGGGGGCAAAAAGATCCAATGGAAGACCTGATAGATTTGAAACAGGTAGGGACCCTAGAGGATTATATCCATGATTTTGATGTTCTATGGAATAAGGCTGGCATTGGAGAGAAGTAAGCCTTAGTTATTTTTTTAGGTGGGTTGGAGTTGGAAATTAAAAACACTGTAAAAATATTTGAACCAAAAGATCTTAGGCAAGTCTTCAATCTTGCTAGATTGCAGGCAAACACTCTAATTCACAGACAAAATCTGGGATATATACCAAAACACTCAATGTCCACAGCACCTCATAGCCTTCCATCAAAACCCATACACCAGCCAAATCTTACTACAGTTACCCTTCCCACAGCAAGCAACATACCACCAATTAAAAGCCCTTCCTGGCCAAACAGTTTCCAAAACTCATTTAACAGAACTCCTAATAAGCCCACCAAATCTATAAAAAACCAGGAGTTTGAAGAACGTAGGTTGAAAGGACTATGTTTTTGGTGTGATGACAAATTCATGCTGGGCAATAGGTGCAAAAATAAACGATTATATTCCCTAAGTATTCTAAAGGAGCAGGAAGAAACTAATGGGGAGGAGGTTCAAGAAGAAGAAATTATACCCCACATCTCATTGAATGCCTTGAAAGGGACCGTAGGTTTTCATATTATGAAGGCGACAGGGAGAATAGGGAAACAAACCCTCCACATATTAGTTGACTCTAGGAGTACCCACAATTTTCTCAACTCCTCTATAGTACAAAAACTACAAAATGAGTTAACCACTATCACACCTATCACTATACAAGCAGCTAATGGGGGCAAGATGTCATGTGAATCAGTCTACAAAGGTCTCAAATGGAAGATACAAGGAGTGAGTTTTGAAGATGATGTGTTTATCATGGATTTAAACAATTACGACATGGTGCTGGGCATCTAATGACTATCCATGCTAAGGGATATTTTATGCAACTATAAGCACCTCTAGATGTCTTTCGATTGGCAAGGCTAGAGGGTGCTGCTCAGAGGTGAAAATCCCATCAAATTCCAAGCTATTAAGCTGGAGCAGCTTAAGGGATTACTAAGCAATCAGAAACAGTTGTCAGAAGTCCATTTGTGTAGTTTATGAATTCTAGACGAGGATGATTTCACTCTTAGTTCAATGATAGTTGCACCACCACCTCACTTCAACAGGGATACCAGGATCACAAAGCTGTTGGGAGACTACCAGGACTTATTTAAGGAACCTGAAAGACTGCCACCACCTAGGAGCCACGATCACTTTATTCTATTGAAGAAAGGAAGCCAACCTATTAATTTGAGACCTTACAGGTACTTAGGACTGCAGAAAGATGTGTTGGAGAAGATGGTAGAGGAAATGCTGGGAACAGGTATTATAAGGCCTAGCAACAGTCCTTTTGCTTCACCAGTTGTATTGGTTAAGAAAAAGGATTCCACCTGGAGGCTATGTGTGGATTATAGAGCTCTGAACAAACTTACGATCAAGGACAAGTACCCCATTCCAGTGGTGGAAGAGTTACTGGAGGAACTAGCAGGAGCAACTATTTTTTCAAAGATTGACCTTCGTTTGGGGTATCACCAGATCAGAATGGGTTCGGGGGAGGAATTCAAGACAGCTTTCAGGACACATAATGACCATTATGAGTTTTTAGTTATGCCTTTTGGGTTGACTAATGCACTTGCTCTATTTCAGAGCTTAATGAATGAAGTTTTTAGAGCACACCTCAGGAAATTCATCCTGGTATTTTTCAATGACATTCTCATATACAGTAAGTCTTTTATGGCTTACTATGAACATTTACAAACTATTTTCAAATTGCTGAGAATAAATCGATTAGTGGCGAAAGCAAGTGAATACAGTTTCGGCAGCGAGCAGGTCGAGTACTTGGGCCACATTATTTCCAAATTTGGAGTTGCTACCGACCCCAACAAAATCAAAGCAATAATTGATTGGCCCTTACCTAGGAACCTGAAGCAACTACGAGGGTTTTTGGGGCTTACAGGCTACTATCGAAGGTTTGTGAAGGGATACGTGTCCATTTGTAAACCATTGATGCAACTTCTTAAAAAGGATGCTTTCAGATGGAATTTTGAAGCTACCACTGCATTTGCACTACTTAACAAATTAATGAGAACCCCTCCAGTACTATCCTTACTAGACTTGGATAAACTATTCATGGTAGAAACAGATGTCTCTATGGTTGGTGTGGGTGCGGTTCTGATGCAAGAAGGCCACTCTATTGCCTATATCAGTAAAGCTCTCGGATTAAAACAGCAAGCCATGTCGATCTATGAAAAAGAGATGTTAGCTATCATGCATCCAGTTCACAAGTGGAGGCATTATCTATGGGGAAAACACTTTAAGATTCGCACTGATCATGTAAGTCTTAAATACCTTTTGGACCAAAAAATAACCACTCCTATGTAGCATCAGTGACTAGTCAAGTTGATGGGGTATGATTATGAGATAGAATATAGACGAGGGAAGGGAAATGTGGCTGCATATGCACTTTCCAGGCCTGTCAGTCATACAATCTATATAATGGTTGTCTCCTCTATTTTTTCTAACATCATGGAGGCAATTACCAATTCTTGGCAAGGAGATCCATATTTGTTAACGATCATCCATGACTTACAGACCGCGTCAGGCTCACATCCTCACTACAACTGGGTAAATGACCACTTAAATAGGAAAGGGTAAGATTGTGGTGGGTTGTGACTTGGAACTACAGTCCAAGATTGTTTTCCTCTATCACAGCTCAACCTTAGAGGGGCATTCAGGAGTGACTACCACTGCAAAACGAGTGGGAAACTTGTTTTATTGGAAAGGGCAACAAAAGAACATCTGTCAATCTATTAGGGAATGCTCTACCTGCCAGTGAAACAAACACGAAAATATAGCCACTCTAGGACTCCTACAACCTCTGCCTATTCCTCACGCCCCATTTATCGACATCAGTATGGATTTTATTGAAGGGTTACCTAAATTTGAAAGGAAAGATGTCATTATGGTTGTAGTAGACCGTTTCAGTAAATATGCTCATTTCATGAGTCTCAGCCATCCTTATACAGCTCCGATTGTGGCTAAGGTATTCATGGACAATGTATACAAGTTACATGGCTTCCTAACATCAATAGTCAGCGACAAGGATCCTATATTTTTTAGCAGGTTCTGGAAAGAGATGTTCAATATGCAAGGGGTTAATTTGCTCTACTCTTCAGCATACCATCCCCAAACCGATAGCCAGACTGAGATAGTGAATAAATGTATGGAAAATTATCTCAGGTGTATGACTGGGGACAACCCAAACCAGTGGGCATGATGGCTGTCATTGGCTGAATGGTGGTATAATATGATTTTTCATTCGTCCACATAACTAACCCCCTACGATGTTCTATATGGGTTCTCTCCTCCTATTCATATTCCTTATTTTCCCAAGGACTCTACGGTAGCATCAGTTGATGATCTACTGATTCGACGGGAGGAAATCATTAAGCAAGTCAAAGATAACCTTCGACTAGCACAACATCGAATGGTTCAATTCGCCAATAACAAGAGGAGTGAAATGACTTTTTCAATCAGGGACTATGTGTATCTTAAACTACAACATTACAAGCAGCATTCAGTAGTTCGCAGGACATCACAGAAATTATCAGCCAAGTTTTTTGGGCCTTACCTAGTGATTGCCAGAATCGGTGAGGTAGCATACAAACTGGAGCTGCCACCGTCATCTACCATTCATCCTGTGTTTCATGTCTCCCAGCTCAAGTAGTGTATCGGTCGCCAGCCAATACAGAGTGACCTGCCACCAATGCCTCAAAACACAAGAATTGCAACCACAAGCTATAATGGAGAGAAGAATTGCACGAAGGAGGAATCA